TTTCAATTATACATGTACAATCATGTGCATCTCTTCTAAAAGCCACTGAAGCATCTGCCAATTACAACAGATTGATTGGTTATCTTTGAAATTCTTCCCAGAGTACCTCAAACCCATAGCAGCTCGTGAACGAGAGGTGGAAGCTGCAAGGGCCAAGGAAAAAGCAGAGCTTGAAGCAATTAAAAAGGCTGAAGCTGCTAAAGGTTTGTTTGTGTGTACCTGAAATATGTTATGTTCTGTGGATCATGTTTTGAATCCCACCAAGGTCAAGAGAATCCCCTTGCCTTAGGTGTGCACCATTTCTTTTCTTAAAGCCAACACTTGGAAGGAAATTCATGGGTTATTTTTAGCACACATTTTACTTGGTACAAAAGATCAATTTTCTCAGAGGTACATTGTGTAATTGTCTGATTTTTAGCTTGACTGCTTTTAACATGTCACTCTTTTCTTTGCAGTGCCCCTGTTTTAGATGAGCCACTTCAACTAATGTGACTGTGAGAACTGTGAAGTTTTCATTCATTCTCAGTGTGTGTTGTCTTTGAACCTTCACTCTCTTATAATGTACTGTTCTTTCGTGCAGTATATGGTGTTAATGTCATACAGCCTGTAATCCTTTGTATCTGACTAAAATGTTGAAATAAAGTTTTTACAAAATGTCCTTCCTCTTTGTCATAGTTTACCAACAGTTCACATAAAGATACAAAGAAAAGTGAAGTATATTATATATGTTATTTGTTGGCTGGGAGGTCCGTATTGGTAAAAGCCATGCTCAAGGTCTTGAGTATGGTGGCCAAGGGCCGTACTTAAGACTGAGGGCACAGTTTTTCCCAATACTGACTTACCAAGGCCAGCAAACAATGTGTTTATTTTTTTGCTATGGTATTGCTTTGAAAACAACTTTGTTGTTGAATTTTGATTAAAGCTGCTCAGTTCAAATCTGGCATACTCGTACATTTGACATTTCGGGAACTAAAAGCGATACTGTTTGCATAAATGTTTGACTCTATGTTGAATGTTTCAATTTTTTGTTGTTTAACGGTGTAACAAAATGCTTGAAAAGTTACCAAAAATGGAAATTTTGCAGTGGTCCATATTCAGGGTCCAGATAGGAAAATCCAGACTGCTGATCAGCATGTGTGATTAGTCATTCAGATTCAAAGATTTATGATTCCAGAGAGCTGAGAAGCTGGAGGAGAAAAAAAAAAATTATATATCTTCTACAATTGTGTTGTTAAGCTGTGCACCTAACATTGCTTGCCAGATACATCTAAAAAAGAGGAGGATGATGTTAGGGATTAAAATTTGTGGCATGGTACCATCTCAGAGAATAAAAATCTCAAATGACTGTCGTCAGATTTACCTTAATACATGTACAAAGTAGGCTTTGCTAGGTTTTGTTTGTTTGGATTTGTAAATTGGGTTGCTATCTACATGTAATTTGCCTGGAAATTTGTTCAAATCATGACCATAGCACAATATTCTGGTAGCTCATTGTTTAAAACACAACAACAAACAGTTCAACAGTTGATCTAGTTTAATTGCCGCTCTTTCCTATGAGTATTATGGTTGTATTCCTTCAAATATCTATCCATAATTCATCTAAATTGCATAATTTATGTAATACATTTACATTGATTATAAAGTATAGCAGATCGGTGGTTTTCACAGCATGCAAAATTAGGATCAACAAATGGTAGAAACACCAAATAGTAAAGAACACGGGTAGAATATTACATTCAACACTTCTCTCAAAAAAGTTGATTTTTAACAGAGTTTGGTTTACATGACATTACATTGTCCAGGTTGGTTTCCCCTGGATTGATGAAATTTGTCTTTGGGGAACAAATCCTTTGGGGCAGCTGTGAAAGTGCTCTGTAGGCCATTTCTAAAAAGCCAAATATTTAACTTAGCTCCAAGGCTTGGAAGAATAACACAAGAAATCACATTGAGACTGAAGGATAAATAAGTGATTTGTTGTTGTTAAATTTGTTTTTGCTCATGAGCCCTGGATCCAAGTCAGTTTAAAATGAAAGTGGCCTTTGTGGATAACCAGCTCTATATTTATTTGTATTTTGTAAATCTCAGAACAAAAACACTATAATTATGTACAAAAATAACAGTCTTCTGTGATGATTCCATGAAATAATTCATTGTATACAGCAACATGAATTTGTTTTCCTTGCCTGTGGGAAAGAAAATATTGTAGATAAATAACAAAACATGGTAATGAGGAAAAATTCCCAACTACAGCTGGACTACCTTCATTGAAACAACCATTACTTTTTTGGGGGGAACTCTAAGGGTGCACAGTCATGAATATCTAAAAACCATTGATTTCGGTTATTTACAACAAGTGGCTACTGGACTTGAAAACTTGTAAAACAAACTGAGTTCAACAGAGCCAGTAATCACTGCAATTATCCAAGAATTGCTCTGGTTCCTGTAATGTCCACCACATCCATGCCCATTTGTACATGTAGTTGTAACACAGGGAAGAGTGAGAGGCTTTCTTAAAAACATACTAAAAACACAACTGTAGATGTGTTCCACGATGAATGAGTTGTTGGTGTTGTAATGTCTATAAGCATGATCATTACAGATGAAAGAAAACAAAAATCCTTATGTCAGTTTTCTGTATTTTGTTAAATTATGTACATTGCTGAGTGACATAATGATTGACGTCACACGATTCAAAATGTCTCAGTAGACAAAGAGTTACATGACCTCCTTTTACCTGCAATAAAGGCTACAGCAAGCAGTATGCTATTAGTACATTGTACACTGTAGCTAAAAGTCTGACTAGTAATGAGTAGCTTAAAATAAAATAAATCCAAGTTATTTCACTTACAGTTTTGTAAAAGGCTTTTGATTGCAGGGTTAATCCTTCAGACTTCTCTACAAGATCATCAAGTTTCTCTCCTCTTTGTAGCACGGCTTCAATTGTGTTATGCTGCCAGGATAAAACAAATTGCATAGATGCACATGAAAACTCAAAGAATTTCTTTGTTGCCAGGAAGAAACAGAATGCAGGTAATTGCATATGTATCCTATAGACTCATAAATGAACTGTTGGCATAAATTTGCTCTGGAAGCTAGAGTACAGTGTACATTCCTTTTGTTAGAACTTCACTTAGGAATGAACAGGTTATGGAGTGCTTGGAGACAGGCTGAGAAGTTACAGTATATCAAAAAAAAAAGAAAGAAAGAAAAAAACTCCCAGAATTTCGACATGTAGTGGGTGGAGGAGAGGGGAGGGGAAAAAAGATTATTAAGACTACCGGTATTACACAGCTCTTTGAGGAAATTAATTTCTTTTGAAAACTCACTAAGACTATTTTTGTTTCATCTAGTTCTGCTTGTACTTTTGTCATTGCATCAGCTTCTCTTGGATTCTGTCACAATCATAATACAAGAAAAATTATTATTTCCTGTTATTATTTTTAACTAGTTAACAGTCACTTGATAGGTAGTATGTATTTAAAAGAACAATACAAAATATTTAGCAAACTGTAAGTCCACTGCATAGGCATTACGGTATGGTAAGTAAACTGTGTAGCGCTGACTGGACGCTTTTGACTGTATGAATAACTCCCGACAATTTAAATGCCACTAAAAAACATTAAATAAATTTTAAATCTACATTAAATATATTTTAAATATACCTGATAATCTTGCAAATATTTCTCACATTCTGGCCAAGTTATTGAACTAAACAGAGTGAAAAGAATGACAGAGAGTCAAAATTGTATCCAATTGATGTCATTATTATCAGCGTCAAAAATTTTAAAACAAATTCAATACATGTTGTTAATTGCAGTTAGTGTAGTATGTGTTGTTATATGCATGTATGTACAATTTAATGTACTTACTTTGGCTCTGCTGTTTTCCAAACTGAAGGTGAAAATTTCTGGGAGAAATCCTCTAGAACCTTTTAAAAAACAAGATTTAATTTATATAACTTAAAGTTTATAATACAGGTAATAATCACTGGCAGAAATCTCTAAACCTGATACATGTAGATTTACAGACAAGTCCTAATTGTTATATATTCTTTTTTTCTCAGTTCTTTATTAATATAATATGGACTTCTTAAAATTAAAACGTTCTGTTTTTAAAACCATAACTCTCCTATTGTGCTCCCCCCTTTCAAGTAAGCCCCCTCTCTCATAAGTTCATGCTTTAAAGCAAGTACATGTACATGTATTACCCCCCTCTTCCCATCTGCCAACCATTTCATTCACAAGCAAAACAATAAGTTTATAACTGATGTCATTTTACCAAGCTTTGGGTCGGAGAGATATCACCAGTGCATGTATCCTGCTAATAATCACAAAATACATGTATATGAACACTTCATTTATCCATTTTAATGGTAATGGTAATACTTACTTTATTTAAAAGTGTAAAAACAACTCTTTGTGGATACTCAAGATCTGAGACAAGAACTCCTCCAAGAGAATCTGACCTAACAAACACATGGCACACATATTCTACAAAAGCAAAGATATGCAAACAATATTATTTCAGTCAAAATAAATAAATAAATAAATAAATAAACAAACAAATACTGTAACAAAAAGAAGAAATATTATAACGTTTAGATGTGCATCTCTATAACATAAAAATACATGTGTAAATGTACACCTAGCTAAGATTCTCTTGGGTATTTTTCTCATAAAAAGCTATTTTTATCACAGTTATGTACAAAAAATAGACATGACTTGATGGCTAGCAGTGCACATTATTTTTTTCGCATACACGAATGTAAAGTGTGTTTTTAACCTTGCTCCTGTGCATTTTAACTCAGAGCAATTTTATAAATGGATACAAACTCCATGTCTTCATAACATGATAAAGATCATACATGTGCCATGTCGCTCCTGAAAATGGCTGAGAGAACCCTCACCTGCAGCTCATGTTCTCTCTAAGTCAAATGGCATGGCCATGATCTTTAACAGAGTGTCAAGGGATAAGAAAGGGAGGTTTTATTCCTTAAGATGATTAAATTCATGCATTAAAACGTGGGGTCACCATGCTTGTTTAAGAGAAAACTATCATTTATTTCACTGCCGAGCCTAGTTTGAGGGAAATCTCTTATGTTTTGTACCCGCACACACTAATGATGCAAAAATCATGCGCAGTAGGGATGCACAATGCAATCCTGAAGAATCACCTTGAACACAGCTTCATGAACAACAGGTGTACAACCTAATCAGACTACACATTTTCAATTAGCTACATGAATCTTTAGTTTCAGCGTACTGTATGTACACGTAGTCATGTACATGCCAATTAATGCATCCAATACACATGTCCAAAGGGCACATAAACTTATTATTACCGGCTATTATGCAAAGTAAGTACAAGGTAAGTATAAGTAATATTCTTATACTTTCCTTGCCTTGCTTGCCTTGCTTACCTTGCTTACCTAAGTAACCAACTACCCCCATTAACCCCACATTGACAATGGAATGTTTTTTTTTTTCTTTTTTTGAATATATTTACTGTGCACTACACCTTGTTCTTTCACTGAGGCTCTTTCATTTGTTCTTGTTCTCTCCACAAGTATTTGACTGGTAAACTGCATAAATTCTTTTACACTACAAAAGAATAGTGCATTTCTTTTACAAATATATTACGTGTCTTGCACAAAATGTTCACTGTATGTCCAACAATATTTGTCTTTTTTTCTCACACTCTCTTATCATTTTTCACACATTTTTAAATTGTTCCTTGGGTGAACTGATCATATGCAGAATTCTTTAATGCTTCAATCCCCAGTGTAAAAAAAGAACAATAATTAGTCACCTATATGGTCACTTATCCACTGTTTTGGTTTCAGTCATCTTTGAAGACCCAGGGATGTCAAGGCAAACATTTTTTCACACCAGTTTCGTCAGTTTGACTTCCTCCAGACTATCTGCCCCTGGGTCCCTGAGGATGGGATTCAGTAGAGCCATTCTATCTTAATCTCCCCACCCCCTATAACCAAGGTACATTTACCCCCAAAATGATCAAACTCGCGACATAAACAATCAATGAAATTGATGATCGGAAATCAATCGATCAACTGCTACCGATTGATGTCTTCTTAGTTAATTGACATTGATTGGCATCAGTCAATCCATGATCAATCAATAATCCTATTGGTCCTTTCTAAAGCAAGTGAGCTAATAAGAAAAAAGAACATGAAAATGGAAAACCATGCACACAAAAATACAACAAAGAAAAATCAGGGTTTCTTGAGTGCAGATACTGTTCTGAGATTTATTCCTCACTCTAATCCTAATTTATGTATTATTCTTAAGACGTTGTTATTCATCATGGTTGTTGTTGTTAAACCAAAACATATTAAGCTTATATAAGAGAAAACAAGTGTTTTTAAGCAAACGAATTAAATGAATAACCGATGTCAGTAAAATAAAGCAATCAATTTCTGTTGGAAATCGATGAAACAATTGATAATCGATGACAATCGATAATCACAAAAACATTCGCGTTCGATTGCTCATCGATTGTCAATATCAATCGATTGCCATCGACTGGCATCGATTGATTTTCCGATCACTGATTGTTCACGTTCTGCAAGCTACAGACAGAACGTCTCAATTAATGAGTATCTTGTTATTTACAAAATTACATTATACTTTTTTAAGGAATGGTAGAAGAAATGCAAGGGACAGATTCAGTGCAATTACTTCAGTAGATAGCCGGTTTACAGTCAAATCTAAGTTTGAGTTTTGAAGGATTTTATACAACTATTTTAAAGAAGGCAAATTTCTCAGAATCAACCCACCACAAGCTTACCTTGATCTTTGAAAATACCCAAATGATTGAAGATCAAAGGCGGACACTAACGTCTTTGACTTCGCATCTTTTCGTAAGACACTTAGGGCATATAATTTCATCCTTAGATTATCTTAGTACACTGATTTCATTTACTAAAGACCCCTTCTTCTCGAAAGTTTTCTTGTTCAAGCACTACCGAGGCTTGGTAGCCTTCCCTTATGTGAAATTTGGAAATGACGTCACCGGAAAAAATCTCAACCGGAAACAGATTTTTCAAAAGGCGGAATAGATTCTAATTTGGTTGCTCGTTGACTCGTTTGGAGAAAGGAGATGTTCGTAATAAGTTCGATTGTAATAAACAGATTTGGCTGAGCCTAAGAGCGGAGCTCCCATAAAATACTAATCATCCACTCGACACGATAACCTTAAAAGAAATTCACCAATAAACATTTCACCACACCGACAAAACAAAAGAAAAACCGAGGCATAAACACAATCTGCATATCACTACATCTGAGTATCAAATGCACATTTGTGATGCTCCACAAAGCCGAGGGCTGTGTGGATTTCTGGTGACGTGTATTTGCGCTACGTGGCTGAGTGATTCATCCGTATTTATGGCTGTGGTAGCAAACCAAATCCTGCACTGTGATTGGCCACCCAACGTGCGCTAGGGGGCTATTTTGCCCGCTCACGATTACTCATTACTCGTTGCGTGAGTGCCGCGAAAATGGCGTTCTTTATGCTGTATGAGAACACCTTTGTTGACCAAGCTTTTGTTTGTACAAGAAGAACCACTACACTACGCAGTATTTTCCTGTTCATTTGATTATAGGAAGGATCATAATCTCTTGTTATAGGCCATGTCATTTTTTTGCCCACGAAAGCAGCAACGACTTGCTATTTTTTGGGTGATAAGCGAAGCGAGAAAAATAGCGGCGGAGTAGAATGAAAAGAGGGAAAATGACCGATATGTGAGAAAACAAATTGTCCAACGACAGTTACAATTAATATTTCTTATTTTATTTTTCAAAATCTGTTTAACTTTTTAACACAAAATACGTTATAAATACAATAAATATAAACTATATATATAGCTAACGCAGTTTTTATTTCGATCAGCAGGCTCAAGACAGTCAAAGAATCTATCCAATCACATGACCAAGACCGCCTTTAAAGATCAGCATTGCTTGTGCCAGTGTCCGTACAACCACGTAATTTCTGACGTCATCCACGACTGAGTCTTTGATGTTACCGCTCTCTGTGTTTTCTTTGTCGACCACTTCCAAGAACGACCGCGTATACTCGTCCAGTCGCTCTTTTAAGCCGTTTAAGTCTTGTGGCTGTGGTGGCAAAACTCTGTTTTCTCGTAGCTGCAATGAATAAACAAGAAATGCAAGTCAAAACCTCATTTGACGCCTAACCAAAATCAACCTGGAATTTGTTTTTCTGTGCCCGGCGTGTGATTTACTTAAAACGAGGAAGACGTTTGCCCTATAAGTGGGTCTAAGTTTCCCATATCCCGTTAACTTTTGACCCAAATATCCCTCAGAGACCGTGAAATTCAGTTTCCAAAACAAACAATATATTCCCACTCGATATCCTAGAAAATCTCTAAATATCTCGTATCCGGTTAATTTTTTTCCCTCAATACCCCTTGTCCCAAAAATTCCTAATGGGGCCAAGCCCCGAGGGGAGCGGGCGAGAGGTATTCCCAGAAAAATTGGGTCGGGGTGTGCGGACCGCTTCCGAAAGCCCTCACCCTATTTATGACCAAAATCTGCGATTTTACCTACCCCATTTATATCCTGACCAAAAATTGTAAACCCCATTTATGACCGTTGTGGCTAGCACAGGTGCCCTAAACATAATTTATGAAGGGCCTTTAATTTGTTGATGGTCTTATCGATAATGATGAGAAAGTAGCTTCTTCTAAAAAACATACCCAATTGAAAACTAGATTACAAAGACTATACCCTATTTATTAGCAAATAGCCAAAATCGATGCCCTATTTTTGACCAAAATGGCTGAAAACAATGTCCTTTGGGTCCGCAAATACTTATATAGCCCATACAAGGGAGTTCGCCCCCCGCTCCCTTCCCTCGTGGGGGCTGTGGAGCCGAGCACATAAAAGGGCAATAATAGAGAAAGAAAACTCACCACTCTTTTCATAAAAGTTGAGATATCAATTAAATATGATTCTAATCGGTCGCTTAATTTTTCTATCTCGTCATCACTTGAGCTCTTGATCAGTTTCACGGCTCTTGCGATTCTAAGGAATCTCTGTATTTCGTCACTAAGTATTCCCGCGTCGGTCGCCTAAGTAAAAGAGAAGCGTAAAAACGTTTTAATTTCGCAGTAATTGGAACTTTTTAATTTACGGGATATTTTTTTATGAGGTAATTGGTTTTATATCAGTTCAAAAGTTAAGCAACGAAATACGGGGATTTATTTCTCAGCCTTTTTCTAATAGAAAATTAGCGCTCGTCGCGCAACGTCTCACTACACAATTGAAGACATTAAACGAATAAAAGATGGTTGATCTTTTATCTAGAAGCTACAATAGGAAGCGACCTTTTTCTCAGTGTGATTAATTAAATTACGTTTGTGACTGTGGTAGCTGTCTTATCAATTTGATTTTTTCATTTTCGTCAACATGCAATCAAGCGTTCTTTTCAACGCGTGATGGCAAGCTTCATTTTCGTTCTTACCCTATCGATGGTAGACTTTGTGAGCTCTTCAAACTGCACGAGTTTTATATGGTCACCAAGACTGGCTGGTAACTTGGGCTTCTGTGAAAAAAAAAAAGCAAAATGCATGAAAAATATACGTTTCCTCAAACACTTTTACTGAATATTTGGATAGAAAACTAGTAAGTTAAAATTGTCAGTCAGTAGTAGTCAATTCTCTGTTCACTGTAACAGATTCCTTTTTAATAATCACTCTTTAAATTTACATACATACGTACTTTATTGACTTTCCCCTAAGAGGCTTTTCAAAGACAACAAATTAAATTTAAACAAGTACAACAATAAAAATAAGATGGCAACAATAAATAATCTACTTTAAGGACCCTAAAAGATATTTACACTAATATTTAAGAATCTATAAAATCGTTTACCAGTTTACGTTTCATGTTAGATTTAAAAGCAGATACTGATTTAAAAGTTCTAAAATAACTATCCATAAAGTTCCAAATACTAACTGTTCAATAATAGAAAGTCCTTTGTTTAGGAACGAAGTGGTTGCCGCGTGAAACACGCTGTTCTGTCTGCTTGAGTATGAAACATTATCCACTATACTGTTCAAGCAAGCCTTACCAGCTCATCTTCGAGTTGCTTTTGCAAGCGATCCAACTCTACGCAAAAGCTTCGGAGTGTTTGCACATCTGATGGAGTGAAATGCAATCTCTTTTCGTCTTTCATGGTTGACGTGATGTTTGTGTTTTATCCCCGAGGTTGATCTTGCACTTTGGTTGTTAGCCTTGATTCGTAGACTACTAATGAACATCTTCTTCAATGTCAGGGTATTTATGTACCCGGGCCGGGTTCGAAAGGGAAAATCCCGAGATGTAAATAAGCCATGATAAGTCACGAGGTGTGTTTAAGAATAAAGCCTATTGCCTATTTTGTAACGGAACGTGTTCCTGGAAGTTCTGGGTGGGGCTGGAGTAGCGTACGTAATGATATAATTGTGTTTAGAAAAGAAAAGCTAAACATTCTGAAAGTCGCTTGAAAGCCTTGTTGTACAGTATGCTTCGCGTCATATTGATGGATATTGAATACGGTAAAATTAATGCTCTTCCGAACGAACGCTATCGGTTTTGTTATGTTAATTATCGAAGCAATCGATCTGTTTATTATCTTAGATCATGTCAGATGTATTAAGCATAAAAACACTTTTTGATCCAGTTGAGTGAATTTCAGTTTCCTGTGTTTCTGCGAATCTGTGACGCGTGCCACTTAATTACAGGTTGACTCGTGACAGCCCTACTCATAAAAACTGAAAAAAAAAATCCAAAATTAAAAATATTGCCTGACAATCTGTCAAAATATAAATCTGCACTGCTATTTTGGAAAACAGATCAGAAAAAGAACATGAAAATCGTTTCATCCAATTGATAGAAGGTAGTTTATCAATGACCTGTGAACCGAGGAACGTTTTAAAAATAAGACATCCGGTTGGAATCACATCCTGTTTTGAATAGACTCACCCAAGTGATGTCACCAGCAGTCACGCCAAGTTCTGGGGTCATAAAATGATCCTTATCTAAGATAAGGGAACGCATTATCTCACTTGTTTTGAAAATGCCGTAAATTGTGTATAGTAAAATATGAAAAAGGTAGGTTTAATTACTGCTTATCATGCTTCTGATTAGGTTTCAGCGAGGGGGTATATGTTAGAATGTGAGCTGAGGGTTAAACGTACTACATACGATATTTCTGTGTGAACCGATAAGGAAAATGGAGTATAAAACTAAATGGGTATATATCTCGAGACCAAGTGAACGTTAAAATAACAATTTGAAACGATCGAGTGATAATATGATGACTTTTGTTCTGAGTTAGAAACCCTGACCAACTATTATTGTTGGTAATCAAGTGAATCGACTGCAGTTGATGAAGCGTGAGTATAAATATTGAACAATTTACCGAACAGTTAACTGGGCACGAATACAATTTTAAGTCTTCACAAACTTTGCCCGATGCGCTTGTTTCAGACACTCGCATGAGAAAAATCATGAGATTACTTAATATTTACTTGAAAGAGGTAGTCTTTTTACTGACTTATGCTACACAAGGGCTTCAAGTATCTCCGGATATTTCATAAAGCTTGTTATAAATAAATCAAGAAAGCTTTGAAAGTCGGTCGACGTCGAAATACCTCGGGTGATCATCGGTAGTGTTCGAGATTCTTGATACTAACTTTGAAAATCTTCATTGCAGTTTGTACTTGTACTGCGCTTCTCCGATCCGCACTCGTGCCTTTTAGACTTTTCATTTGAAAGCTACAGTCTCTTTTTAAGCAGAAATTACTCCGGTTTATTCAAGAGTATCATTGCATGACTTGGCGTGTTAAAATCAAAAGTTCTTAAAATGACACGAGTACGAACAAAAAATGTTCCTGTCGATTCCAAATTTGCAATACTTCTCTGTGCTGTACCTTGTTAATAAACGCAATTAATTTTATATATGCACCAGACTGTCTCTGTTAAGAAAACAATACAATCTTTATTTGATATTATTAATATTACTAGAGCATTTATAGTCACGTAAATCTTTCTCTTAGTGGGTACAGTGTAAGGCTCTGAATATCGTGATCTCTGTATGTATTTATGTGTGTTATCAGGGATACTTTTCTTACTGTACACTTTAATAAATACCTCATGATAACTCTATATTGAATATATTACAACAAGCCAAGATTTAAGTATTTCTAGAGACTACACCTTTAGATACCTATATTGCTTAAATTAGCTTAAGACAAGCGTTTAATAAAGCCTTTATTCTCTCTGTCTCTGGTTCTGTTTCACTTGTGGACCATCTTTAGTGCTTTTAATCAGTAGGATTTCATTCAGTCAGATGACCCAAATCTCTTTGGAAGTTCAACAACAAGAATGAACCAAGGCCTTGGACAATGACGTAATTTCTGACGTCATAAATCGCTCTCAAGTCAGCGCTTCTGTTGTCAGTGAAATCGTCTTCAATTGTCATATCTGCAGTCAATACATTTTCTCTGTTGTGCTCACCAAAAACTTCCTGCAGGAAAGAAATAAAAATCGCTTAATGACTACTCCAAAACAAACAGCAGGTTTTCTGGCCCTGAGACCCTTGGTGCTGAGAAGATCCAAACTCACTGTTTCCGGCCCATGCAAGCTACAACTAGTTCTAGATATCTCAGCCATCAGAAAAACGAATGAGATAAATGATATTTTTCAATCTTTAGACTTCATACTCTTAAAGGGTGTAGAGTAGAAATGAGTCGAATGATCACTGCCCTCT